CATGTCTGAAAGCTCCTCATGCCAAACGTTGTGGGGTCCCATTGACCGATATTCCCTGTTGATTGGCATGCCAAATATCATTTGCATAAGGCCATCCATATTTCTTTTGTATGTGTTTCTCACCTCAAGCCTCAACTTACTAGAGAGTGGGTGGATGAAATAAAAATATAATTTATTAAAAAATGGCTTTCAATAATTGTTTAAGTTATATTATGACATTTTGAAAAAAGTTTCAAACTCTTGGCACTAGAATTTAGTCTATAAATTAATTTATGATGTAGATGGAGTCGCTTTGCTTTGGAAACAAATTTTTAATAAACAGCTAAAGAAAGATAATGTTGATCGTACAATCGTGATCTAGTTCTAGTAGTATTTCTTTTATTAGATTGGTGCAAAATTTTCCACAGTGACAGGAAAAATTGAGACACGACTTTATATTATTTCACGTCGGAATGGAGATGGGGAACTCAGAACACAGACAGCCACACATACTTTGAAATGATGTACAGAAAAATATTTGTTCACCCTAATTCTGTCATGTGCATGAACATGGATTTCAACTTTATCACTGATTATTTTCATCATGATTATGAGGTTATTACCTCGGGATGAATTAATAAATTAATTTGCATTTTTAGGAAAGAAATGTTTTCGTGGATATTATAAAAAAAACCATGTTGAACATGGTATTTTTGGATTGCACTGAGAATTTCTTCTAAGTACTTTCTAATTACTTTCGAAAACTTTTTGTTTTCCCCCTTTCTGACCACGCAATCTCCTAGCAACCACGCCCTGTGAGTGCATCCGAGTTGGATTGCTGCTTACCACTGTCAAGAACTTTGCAAGTTCGCTTGTCTTCAATATGAGCAACAAAATATTTTTGTGTGACACTTAATTTGTCGTAGAGTTGTTTGAGATGATCAGGGGAGCCTTTGGGCATTTCTATTATAACATGGGTGACTTTGTCGTGGTGAAAGTTCCAATTCAAGATGTCATCATTCTGACTGTCAACTCGAATCAACAAGATGGCACCTCTTCTCCCGCCTTTGCAAGTACAACAGAAACTTTGACAAATTCAGTGCCGAATCTGAGGATTAGTGGATCAGTGACACAGATGCATTTCATTATGGAACCAGATGAGGGCGAATATGTCTGTTCACGCTGTTCACGCTTTTGTCAACCATGCGTAACACAGCACAGACAATCACAGTTAGGGAATGGTGCGGCTACCATGTTGCAGAAATTTGTAGATTCTAAAACAGTGCTACAAATACTTCTGGATTAAGCTAAATAGACGAAGTGTTTGGAGAGATCCTAGATACTCGGACTTAAAAAACGGATAATAAACGTAACTGCAGATGAAAAATTGGTGTGGACAAAACATGAAGTGATGCCAGCACGCCTTTTGGCATTTCAGTGGCTATTTACTTGGCTCACCAAGCCAGTAATCGAGGGACATTCGTACACAGACTACTGTCTCGTGAACCATCCGGACATGGCTATCCTGGTTCTCCAGTGGGACTTTACCAGGCACCTACTTTATCAGCTGGGATGGGTGCATGGTTAACGAGGCGAAGTCGGAAATTATTCCATCTAACCGACTCCTATAGGGTGCCTGTTCCAGACAGTGCCACAGGACAGATGGCTTAAGAAACTGCGCCATCTGTTCCATTCACCAGTGTTGCTAGGGTTGCCCACATCAGCCAAGGATTTGACAAACAGAGGTTTTTTGCACTTACACCTGCTCAAACAGTTCCTGGTGAGACATCAGCATCCCTGCTTAGCCATCAGTCTGCCGCCTCACCTCCGGACTCATCTCAGATTGTGGATGGTAGAGTCAAACGTTTAAGGAGGTATCTCCTTAACAGACTTGACTCATATGTTACACCTATTTGTAGACGCCTATGTCAAGGGTGTCGGAACATTCTGGCAGATGCTCCATCTAGGCCAGAGGGGTGGCTCCCATGGAGTGGAAACTCCATCCTGAGGTGTTGCAACTGGTGCATCAGCGGTTCGTACAGGCCAACATTGACCTCTTCCTCGTGATCATTAATACCCAGTGTTTGCATTGGTCTCCAAAATAATCAGGTCCCCTTGGACGCGTCAGACGTAAGCGCTGCAGCCGTGAAGCTATCTAAGGATGCTTTGGTGCATCCCCCCCCCACCATGTAATGTTTTTAAATGTAATCCATTCTGAGCACAAATAAAGTGTCTGGTTGAAATTTTTAAGTGTTTGTTTAAAACAATGCGTTAAGTGAACTTTTTTTCAAAATGAAAGGTTTCTTTTTTGGCGCCCAGTTTTTTTCAGTGGATATTTTTGTATATGGGACGCCATAATTGCAAACACTGCTACCAGATAATGACGTATGTCTCTCCAATCCCGGATCCGCAGGCATGGTAAGATACCCATTCAGCATCTCTTGGGAAGGACTGGCAGAGTACACTTTTCCAACAAAAGATTAGAGCAACCATGAGCCTCGCTGTGATTTTTGTCGCACCTTGGTGGCCGTTCAGGGGGTGCTTTGTAGACCTCCGAAATCTTGCAGAAAACGACCCATTAACCCGGCCGGAGTGGTTGAAGCAAATCATCCACCCTCACAGCAACAGAGCTCCAGATAACTTTTTGAGCAAATGAGTTTATACTCGAAGGTTTCTATTTTAATTTGGTTATAACTTATAACATTTTTCATTAGGTGACCAATATTTTTTCACTCATCTATTCATCACTCTATTGGGTTTTTCCCAAAATGAGTGAAACATTTTCAGATTAAAAATAAAATAAAATAATGTTTTAGATGTATATAAGGGTTCTAACTAGCTCGTAATTGTTTCAGAAATTAGCTCCATTGTACGCATGCTGAAAAAGCTTCATTGGGTATTTACACATGCTGTTTTTATACATTCGAGTTTTTCATTTAATGCATGCGTTTCTATACGCAAGTTAATTGAAAGTAATTGGGTTTTGAATATTTTTTGGGAATATCTATAGCTCTGCAGCAAGTTGCCACACCCAACAACAGGCAGGTTTCATCTGCACACCTGGTTCATCTCAAGAGAGCCCTAGGCACTAAAGGCTATTTGGCTCTGGCAGCTAAGGCCATTGCCCTGGCACGCCGCCTCTCTACCTGAGGCTTATATCATGATAAATGGCGATCCTTTAAAACCTTCTGAAAGGAGAAGAATCGGGACCTTGCTGCAGCGGGTCCCCCTGTCCTTGAGGATCAGAAGGCAACTTGCGATTTGAATGTCGTACTTCAGGGTTTGCGTGGTCCTCCATTTGAGCCTCTTTGTGCAACATCCTTTTTTAACCTCACCAAGAAGATGATTTTCTTCTTGGCACGAGCACCACAGCAGCAAGGTCCGAGGTCTGACACGGTCTCACTTGCCATTATCCTTGAGACGTAGCACTAGAAGATGTTGAAAGCCTATTAACGTTAGCGAAACACAGAAAGTCTTGCATGGCGGAGCTGACAGTGACAGACTGACAAAGATAGAAATTTTCAATGAACCTGACTTCGCGACGACATGTGGTTACAGCATAACTCAGAAAGACATGCTAATGGTAAACACAAACAAGCTGTTGAGACTAAATATATGACATCAGACGTTGTTGCTGCAATACATAACGTTACATTGGAGAGAAAAGCCATAGGAAACCTAATGATGTAAGGGAGGTAACTCTAAACTCGGAAGGATTTCCATAAATAGAACTCATTCTTAACAGTTACGTAGTTTGGAATGATTGTGTGAGTGTTATGATGACGTCATATAGAAATACAGGAAGTTGTGTTGTCAGTTATTGTTTTGATCTGAACAAGTAAACATTGTTTGAGTTTACGGGAGACTTGAGTCTTCATTCACTATGTATCGCTTGCTTTTCCTGTGGACAGGGATTCTGAATCAATAATCTGCATAGGTTTTAAAAATGATCTCATGTTTTTATGCTGAAGGGGTCCCTTTTGGCTGAAAACTGTACTTGTAATAACAAAGAACTGACTATGGTAACAATATAACAATAGGACAGTCAGTATGTCCATTTGTAGTTAATGATAAAGTTAAAGCACAGTGAAGTACACACTGGGCAGGTACATGCCTCGGTCTCAGTTAATCATGTTAATGCAGTGTTAGAAATTGGCACTAGTCCTGTAGTCCCTGTCAAACTGCCCATAATTATTGTGTCATAAGGACTGGACCAATGCTATATGTTATCATAATAAGGACTAGTGGACTACAAATGTTAGTTTCTACTTCTGTAATGGTTGGCTCCTTTCTTTGGATTTCAATATTTTCTTGAAGTTTCCTCTTTTTTCCAGTGATTGATTGGTATGGTGAATTTTGGTTTGTTGCCAGGAAATATTGTGGTCAGGATTGCTGGTGGGGTGTTCTGAAAGGTCAGATTTCATGTCAGATTTGGCAACGGAGGTCTTGAGTTATTCTGGGATTGGTATGGGGTGTGAAGTCTCTCTGATGTATTGGTCTCCACAATATTGCATGTTATATCATACATACATCCTTTAGGGTTTGGAGGAGACAGAGTGGGACCTGTAAGTCTGCTAATCTGGGAGACTGATAGGGCCTTTGCTGACTAGGATAGGTGATCGGGCTGGTTCCTGATTAGAATCAGAATTCTTTTCTTGGTTTCCTGGTTTTGTTAATGATTTTGTCTACCAGCTGTTTGGGTTTGCCAATAAAAGTGATGGGCGTGTATTTGAGGTGCTGCATTTCTTCATTGAGATTGTCAGGACTGCAGAAGACTATTCCTCTTTAGTTGAGGGTGGAAATTATGGCTTGTTTGACCAAAGGTAATGTAAATGGTATGACACTGGAAATGCATGTTGATATGTAATGAATTCTGGGGCTGTGTGGGGGTTGCTTTTGTTTTTGCAAAAACTTGCAAGCACTATTTTTGTTTGATACTGAAAATCAGTAGTTTTATGTTTAAAACATATTTATAAGCTTATCAATAAAAAACTGATTGTAAACTTTTTTTCCATTTTCAGATTTTCCAGGTCAAAGACCATGCAAGAACGAATAAGATGACGTGTAACAAGACTCATTGATAAACCTTTGATAAATATGGTCCGAGTCACAAACAGATATAAACTCTTGATCCCATGATGTGTGAGAAGAAATACTTCTGCCCACGACTACTTGATTATATTGTTATAACTGGTAGTCGCCACCCCAACCATAACAACCATGTTACCCAGACTCCAGAACTACTCCGTCGCTATCCCCTAGAGGATCACAAAGATTTTCCCTTACCCACAGATGTTATCTTCTTCTGCCAGCCCGAAGGATGCATCAGCGTGGGACCAAAGCGAATGAGCCTCCGTGAGACAACATCTTTTGTCTTCACACTGACGGAAAAGGATTCAGGCATTGTTAGATATGGCATCTGTGTTAACTTCTTTCGTCCATTTGAAAAAAAGAGTTATTCTTCAGACTGGCAGAAAAGTGACAGATTAAATCTTTCCATAGGTAGCACCAACTCAACAGATATTGCTAGTTCCTTGGAATTCGAGAAACCAAAGTCACCAAGGGCGAAACGGAAATCACGGAGTGCAAGCCGTGTCCGCAATAACACTCTGACATCGTTATGTATTGTTAGCCATCATCCTTTCTTTTCTACATTTAGAGAATGTTTGTTTATACTGAGGAGACTGATTGAGGCATGTCATGACAGAAGTTGTACCAAGAGGATTGGAGGATCCAAGGCACTGACCAGGTGAGATGCACATCCATTTTGTAAACTTTTTCATACAATCAATTCCAATGAGTTATATTTGTTATTAGCGAACGATGGAACTAAAACTTTTGCGTTAATAGTAGATACAGTGTGGGGCGGTTGGGTAGCCTAGTGGTTAAAGCCTTCGCTCGTCACGCCATCGACCCGGGTTTGATTCCCGACATGGGTACAATGTGTGAAGCCTATTTATGGTGTCCCCCGCCATGATATTGCTGGAATATTGCAAACAGCGGCGTAAAACCTTACTCCTTAACAATATGGTGGGGTTGCTGTACAATACATATCCTGATACTATGGGTACAATATGATTCGAATCAGATACAGTACTTATATTTCACAAGTTGATATTCTTTCATTTTGCAGGTGAATCACAACCCTGAATCATTATGAAATTTCAGAGATCAAAGATGGGATATTGTTGGGCAGAAACATATAGCTAGAGGGCACTGTGAATGTTATACTATATATATCTAACCATAATAATGAGAGAATCTGCATAAATTGGTGGTTGAACAGTTTCTGATATTATTCGCATGTTTTTACACCCATATAATTTGTAATGAACAGAGTTAGAAAGTGGCACTAGTCCTATAGTCCTTGCCAAACTGCCCAACAGATAAGGTATCATAAAGAAATTTGTCCTTTTTAAGGTGAGGTGAGGTGAAATTGGGTTTAACGTCGTGTCCAAGATTATTGCACTTATATAGCGACGTGCATGCACGTGTGTGTGTGGCTGCTTGTACTAGTCCGGACTTATGCCAATTTATAGTGCTAGCACACTGAAATACCATGCCGCAGTTTAACATGAATACCCCACTCAGACACAGTATACTGACTCCGAGCCGACCAGTCCTTGTTTTAGCCCTTTAATGCCCAGCGCCAGACAGGGTAACAACAAGTACCATCTTTTAACGTCTTTTGGTATGACGTGGTAGGGAATCAAACCCCGGACCTTCCGCTCTCCGGGCGGACGCTCTACCACTAGACCACGGAGGCGGCTTGTCCTTTTTAAGGGGTTTGCTATATTGTTATCAAGGACTAGTGGACTAAAACTGTTAGTTTCTATTGCTGATTGTAATATGGGCCCCATATCCAAGATAAGACTGTATCGCTGTGTTGTTACACCACTATTTCCAATCTGTTTACTGCAAAATTGTACCGATAAAACGCAAAATAGATATAAATCGGAAGGCAACAATTCTCTTAAATGGCATGAAAGTTTTTTATTTATCCATACCAACTCGTCACCATAATTTCAGACACTGTCATGAAGTGTAGAAAAGTTGTTTAACAAACTATCATGTAATTGTTAGTGGTTTAATCCCTGTTGTTACAAGGGGATCTGCGCAATAAACATAACAGTTGAAGAGAACATCGCAAAACACAGGGATAATCTCAAAACTTCTATTCTGAAATATTTTCATTGTCACTGTCACTGTTACTGTCAACTGAAATAATGATTTGACTGACAGTTGCATGATCTAAACCATCTCCTTTACAAGATGAAGCTTTATTTCTGGTCTCAACTTTGTCAATCCACCACCTCCGACTTGCAATAATCATAAACATGCAATACCATGGTTTTAAAATCATCTGTGGATTTCATCATGTACAATGATGTTTTGAGGTGGTTCTGTTTGTTTTATTATTTACATTTGAAATTAGCTGAATAGCAATACCAAGAACATCACCAACATCACTAACATTGCTTTGAGAATATTTTACATTCATGTATGGGATGGACAAAAGCGACAATAATGTTTCTGGCTATATAATTTTGATAAGAAATGTCACTGTTGACAATCTCACCGAAATCCTCGAGGAGAATTTGAGAAATTTCTGCTTTCATTAAAGATTTTATATATTGTTTCAAAATATATCATTTACATGAATGTAGACAACAGTTCTTGTCATTTATGCTGTATGTATGGATCACGGCTTACTTTGACGATATCCATACTAAGAGTCATATATTTTTACTGCCGCTTCTTCTTCATCGTAGATGAAGGCAATTACATAGATACCTACCTTGAACACATGCAAATGGCTTGCCCACCATTTCCAACACATTTCTCCAGCTTTTGATGAGTGTTTGCTTTGTCATTTTCAGTTTAATATTAAGTGAAATAATAAAAAGAAAGATTGCGCAAGTTCAATGCAATGTTTCCTTAGTCGCACTTAAGTCACCGGATGTGATGTCACATAGAGGAAAAAGGCTACTCATTTTGTTTTGCTAATGCAAATCAACTTTGAAGTTTGTAGTATTTTGTCTGTAACTATCAGAATAAACCAGAACACACTACATAATATTAGTAATCATCAATCATATTGAATAATCACGTGACTTTGGTTAGAACATTTGCATATTAACAAACCCATTTGACCTTCCATGCTCCAGTGACCAGGAAACGGTAGTTGTGGGGAAATTGGTCAATACGACATGGAAGTTTCTTAATATCATATATTTCAAGTTTATAGCTGAAAAGACCACCTTTTGATGTAACAATGATTATGATATTATTGATGACAATGAAAGCCTGGTAACTGAACAAAGTCTTAAATTATGTTGTGTCTAACACATATATGTCTACATATCAAGTGCCAATGACCACCTCCAATAACCAGCTGATAGACAGGTGCCTAAAAATAGGCATGACAAATGGGTTTTGGAATTGATTCCCTACCTGAATATAAAATGGAAATCAACACTTCATTGATTTATATTTTTAAGCATCTTCCACACATATATTCAGTGTTAGTTTGATAATTATTTTTACAACATTAATATCCCAAAATATTGCATTCTTGCATTGCCTTGCAACAGCATGAGCAGAAATCAGCAAGACACACATGTATGGTTTAGTGTATAATTAAACAAATAATAAATAGATACAGTAACACCATCATTAACATATGTGCATTTGATTGGCATAGAACATTTTCTGGGGCCGTTTTTTGGCAAACAAAATAATTGATAACATCCATAAAAGTATTTACAGTAAACAATAATTTGAACATGATGAATAAGATTTATACTCGGACCCCATGGTACCGCAGCATTCATCGTGTCGTGGCATTTGTGATTTCCGGTAGTTCATGGGGGACACGCCTCTTAGCAGCTGTCTGTTAATGCAAATCAGTAACCAGGAAGTGTTCACTTCGTAAACAATTTCAATTTCCACGGAATGTTCTGTCTGCTGTACATGCTGTAAGTAAGGAGTTATTAATGCGTTGATACATACTTCTGTGATCTTTTTTAATATTGCCTTACCCCCATCTATCAATCTATCAATGGACAACGCAGTTCCCCAAGTAAACTTTCTCTATCGACCTGAACTAGATCATCTGTACATTCATGGCGACTAATAAGGTAACGGAAGTTACGTAGTCCGCACATTTTTTCCCGCTCTGTGCAAAGAATCTATTGGGAGATCATAAGGGCCATAATGCCAAACTTAGAAATACGTTCTTCACTAGTAGCCAAAAGATAAATACATACTTTAGGCATACTAGGAGTGCTTTTTATATATTTATTGTTGACGTTAAACACTTTTCCATTTTGTGACAAATTATTGTCATCCAATTTTTTTTGTAAAGAATCTTAGAATATCATTTATGATATTTTGTTGTTGATTTTTAAAATATTTTTCTCTTACTTTTTCGCTAAATATGCATTGAATATCTATTACTGATAACAAATTTAGAATTTTACTTGTGCTGTCTTTGCACATGCCTGGACAAATCACTGATGTCTGGCATGATCATACCAAGTTGTTGGTAAAATTATGTCCTCTTTTTGTCTTGACTGCCAAAAAACAATCTGGAGTTTTTCAGAATTTACCCTCTTATCTGGTTTTGGAACTTTGAAGATGACCTGTGCATTATTGCAAGAAAGTTCCATGAGGTACAAAAATACCTTTTTTCACCACTCACAACACCTGTGTAGCATCATGTAATAGTGGTAAAAGGTGACTAACAGGATCGGGTGGTCAGGCTCGCTGACTTGGTTGATGCATGTCATCGATTCCAATTGCTTGGATCGATGCTCATGTTATTATTCACTGGATTGTCTGGTCCAGACTCGATTATTTACAGACCGCCGTCATATAGCTGGAATATTGCTGAGTGCCAACAAACCAACCAACCAACCATGTAATAGTGCAACTGCTTGTCTGCCAGGTCACTGCCTCCCATGTGCTGACTGTGCAACTAAACTGCTTTTAGCTTACTTCTCTGAAGTAGCATCTTACTCTTTTAAAAGAAACAAGAGCCATTGTGAACACTTTTGAAAAGGTTTACTTTTCCTTTATCAGTCCGTGTGGTGTACAAGAATTCATTTTCGCAAATTAACTGTGGATCATCACCACCTTGGTTCGGGCATCCTTGACTGGCAGCTGTACATTCAGTCGGTAGGTCCCCTCTGTTCCACATGCACCTGTCTGGTTGTCCGATAATTCCTGGAAAAGAGGGAGAGAAGTGAAAACATTGCCCATGTGCACATGATGACCCTTTCCTACAGTGGTTGACACAATGATGTAACAACCTGCATATCATGTGTAACTTAAGTGATCCACAAAGGCTACTTTGTAAACAGTTATTCCGAGTTCAGTTTGGGGTTGTCCTTATGCTATTTGCCTGTTGAATGAGTTTGACAGTAGTGGCACAGCTGGTGAAGGGAAGCTTTAAACTTTTTAAAGGGAAGGTTTCCATGACTGTTTTGCACTCAATCCAAATCAAATGTGATGACACATGTCCGAAAACCAAGCATATATATATATATTATTTATGAAAAATGGATGATAATTGTTTCATGTGATCATCATGATGATAGTTTATTTTAGTCATTCTTTAGACACTCTATGTTAACTAAATCAGAAATTATAAGGAGAGCTGTGTCAAAGTTAAGTTTGATACAATGAGATATTCAGTAAAATTGCACTTAAACTTACTTTGCGACTTGTATGGTTTACACACTGAAGTTTACAGGCCATGTTTGATTTAAAGGTAAAACCTTAGAAAAAGTATTGTGACCTCTGTACTTACATTTTGAGACTGAATATTTCATATTTACTAAATAATGAAAAACAATTACTTCTTGTGCAAGAACTATTTTACCTGAGTGACCTCACTTGTATTTGCTCAGCTTTTGACGTCAGCAGTGTGAGCTCAATGACATTGTCTTTTAAGGGCACATTTTGTGTACTGCTGGAGATGACAGCCTTGCAGTTTCACAACTGAAAAATCTCCAAGTCAGTTATTTACATATTTTGTTTTGTAAGCAATTGATGTGTGGTAGCTATATAGTGGGAATGTAGTATCAATTTACATGGCATCGACATATGCAAAGTAACTAAAAAAAGGACAACCCTTACCCTTAAATGTTTTATCCTTGAATAAGGGTGAGCTTCTGTACCTGTTGTACTCTCATTAACTGAATCAACTTGTAGATTGGTTATGAGTGTAACACCATAAATGCAAGAGAGTTTGATTGTATCACTGCTGACATGCAGGGTATTTGTAAGCGTTGTAGTGAAATATCTATCAAATGCAGGATTCCAGCATTCCTGAAAACCCTGTAGAAACTATTAATGTGAACTCCAGGTACAAGTCCAAGGAAAGTTTCACCTGTCATGATCTGTTGCTATCAATGATTGTTTTGAAGTTTACATTTCAGTGCAGTGTTATCAAGTTTGTTGGTAGCTTCACCATTTGTTGCTAGATTGTAATAGAAAAGGTCATCATCTAAAAGATGTCTTATTACTTTGTTCTGCAGGGACACAGTGTGGGGTGTGTTGACAGGGCTGTGTAGTGACAATATCTCGTCACTTGTGATGCATGAGGTGCGGGAGATTGAGACTTGGATTCTGCGACTCCTCAGTGCCCCTGTCCCTGTTCCTGGCAAGACTAGGGTAGAGGTCAGTACTGCTTCTCAATGCTTAAAACTTTATAAACGTCTTATAGGGGAATTACACACAAAAACTAAAACTTGTATCTTTCTCTTTTCAGTGAGAAATTAATAAACCCCAAATTTATTGTGAAGATGTCATTTTTAGCTCGTCAACTGCCAGTCAAGTGAGCTTATGTCATGGCCTGCTTGTCTGGCATCTGTTGTCATATGTTAAAATGTTTTGATCAAAGAAGCTGAAAGTTCACAAGCTTGTTCCCACGAGTTATGATGCCTGAATTTGATCAAAAAGTCGTTTTGATCGTATTTTCAATATAGCAACCTCTGCATACTGCAAAACCAATTCATGGCCATTACTCAGCCATTTTTTATCAAAATGTAGTAAAACTTTGTAAATGCATAATTAATTAATAGAACTCAACACGCTTGAATTTTCTGAAAATGCATATTGGGCTCTGTAAGTTTCTTCTCTGATATTTGTTTTCAGTCCTCAGTATTTATGCAGAAAATATTTGAAGGGCAAACCTTTGTTTCCTGTATATATTTGTTGACATTTTAATCTGCTCATGACATACCCAGGTGAGTTACATTGCCGTGGCACTATTTAGCAGACACTACTGAGCAGCACTGTGAAATATGACTGCTTTAATTTTAGGGGGGAATTTGACTGCCAGCACTGGCATCGTTGGTGATTTTTCTAAGGTGTACTACACAAAGACGGACAGCAGAGATTTTTCTTACACTGACTTCTTCCATATTGCTATGGGGAATCCTTTTGGCATGTTAAGGTCAGCATTCCACTCTTTCTAAAACATGGCTTTGTAAAAGATAAAACACATCTCATAGGTTTTGCATGAAAATGTAAAACAGCGAACAGGTTTTTCCTGTGCTCGAGGTTTGTCATGTTCATCCAAAACCTAGTTTTTGTAGTGTAGTGTAGTGTAGTGTAGTCTATATCCAAGCAATACCAGAAAAGAACCCCCAAAACTTTGGGATATCTTATAGTGAAACAATAACAAATACAGCTTGGGAGAGAAAGACCATGTGCAGCATGCTGACATGCAGTGTTCCATGGATTAATCTATAGAAAGTCACTGCATTGTTCTACATAATCTACTTCGGCAGTACTTGGGTGTAAAATATTCTCAAGGCATGAATACCTCCCTCCCCCCAAAAAAGTTCAAAATGTATGTAGAAGGTAATGTGTTAATATGTTTCATAAAAATTGAATACTAATATTAACAACAGTTCAAGATATTACCTTTATAGAAAATAAAGAATTTTGTTAGAACCAGAAAGGTATCTTTATGCAATTATTTATTTGCAAATTTAAGCTTTGAAATATTCTAGTTCAGACGGGGACTATTAAGATTGAATAATAATGAAGGTAGGTGGTAAAAATCAATTTATTCATGAGAAACTGTCCATCATGTGATCAAGGTATCAAGGAAGAATATCATGTTTTACTTTGATCTACTGCATTACAGATCTGAGTTGAATTTGTGGAATGATATGAGTGAGATCAACTGTCACCTGATTTCATGTAAATGGTTAATGACACATGTTTCTAGTGGGGAAGTTCTGGGACAATCAGGAAATGGTGATGATAGGGCTATGTTTGCCATTCCAATGAACTAACCAAATAATTAAGTTATCCCCCAAAAGGTTAATCTTTTGTGTTATACCTGCAAGGATTGGTGCCATGTTGGTTGGCAAACTGGGTGATATCCTTTTACCTTTTTTTTGTGCTTGGACAGGTGAGCATCCTACCAAAGGACCTGCAGCCACCAATACTGTTTGCCTTACCAGACCACACCCGCTTTACACTCATAGACTTCCCCCTTCACCTGCCTCTGGAACTACTGGGAGTGGACACATGTCTCAAGGTGCTGACCGCAATCATACTGGAACACAAGGTACATGGACACATATTGCCGCCTTACAGTTGCTGAGGAGCTCACCTAGTTTCCTCACAGTGTCTTTAGCACATATTTATGAGACATGACCAAATTTGTCATTTGGTTAGTCACCCATAAATGGCAGGTCTAGTTTGATGATCAGCTAAATCGGTCAACAATGAGTTGGTCTCACTTCCAAGAACTGGTGATGACTAACAATTATGTAATTTATAGTCACTAAAATTGACTTGGCACTCATGTTTCAGTCAATATCTTAAAATATGTTGTATAATACAGACTTTTATTGGTGAAGATACAGGTGGTAAGCTACTAAGTCTGTATGTCACAAGTGTGTCGTACACGGTTGACCTCATTTTATTCGTTTTGATTGGATAACCTTGACCTCTGTCACACCCGGACTACTTTTTTTATTCATAAAAAATCACGAGACGTCATTCATTTTGCAACTACAAGACAGAACTGTAGCAATCTCACGAAAGCAAGAGATATTTACAAACCCTTTATTAAACCAAACAAGATAGTCACATGCATCAAATTCCGTTTGCATTCTAAATTAGTGATGCTATATCCATTTACAATGTACGACTTCCGATCAATAGATTGAGGGTCCCCATTAGGCATTAGGCAGACCAATTTTGCTACTTTCAATTTGATTTAACATAAAAGGATAAGCATGGTGAATTGAGGAAGTCGGTTAAAGCTCTCAACGTTCGACAGAATGTGTCACTAGCCGTGTTGCTACTGTCGAACCAGTTCGACAGGCGAGTAGCATAAGGACACACACAAACAAAACTCGCCATATCTATTTACCAAGAAGGCTTTGTGTAACATTAAAATTATGTATGACCGGCATAAATGCTCAGCTTGCTCAATATTAAAACTTTCAGAAGTTTATTTACCTCAAAAAGAAAATACCCCGATTTTAAAAAGTTTCGGCCAAGCTTCTCGGCACACAACTACCAGAAACGGCCATTGTTGATTTTTGGCACTTCACATTGAGCGGCATGCAGTCCGATATTTTCTTTATAATGTTATCATTTTTCACATTTGATCATAATTTATTGTTTGTTGATGAAAGGAAAACACTCAAGTTCCTTAATTTAAAAAAATTAGCAAATTTCGATGTAATTAATTATAAACAAAAACAATCTGAATCGTAACATCATCGATTGGATGGAACCTGTACGATCATGGCAACGGCGGTAAACAAACAACTCCACATGCATAGTTATCTCGTCGACTATTACAATCATTTTGTTACATCGGACTTAATTTTCTAGAATTATTGACATGCATGTATAAATCTTTGTAAAAAAAAGAGTTTGCAGATGATTTTGTTTGATAAACTTTCAGACACATTGACAAGCCGACAAACGCCAGTGACACGTTTGGGCGTTGCCTAACTCGCAATTTGTTGAGTTGATCAATGTCAACAAACACTGCGAAAAATGACAAATATTGGATGATAGGCAAAATCTGAACCATTCAATAGCTAAATAGTGCAGTTTATGAGAAATAATCAAAATACTTGCAATTTTAGCTATCATTTCTGAAACCGGAAGCACGTACCGCATGTGACACATGGAAGCAAAATATGCAAAAGTTAGTAAGCTATCATAAAGAAATTCCGAAATAGATTCATATTCAAAAGAAAATACAGAATTTACTATTTTTCGTCAGCTATTTACTATTCATTTATCTGGAGAGCAGTCTTCACTTCTATTTGTTTCATATTTCTTCATGATTGTCGCCATCAAATGTGTCAGTCTAAATCCGAAACCGTAATTGATTTCACGCTCGATGATTTTAATTTAAAATTATTTTCTGAAAACGAATGTAACACAGAGCGATATAACGTATTGATATGCCATAATAATAACAACATGATATTGTTATTGGTCTAGCATTACAAAAAGAACAAATTTTATCTTATCCTGACTCATACTTATTGCTTATCTCTCTCTCTTACGGATAGGTAGTGGAAACGTCCTGTGCTGTTCCCAAAGAACAGAGAAAACAGCTCACCCAAACGCACCCTCACTCTGCGCATGCGCACCGGAACCATGTGACCAAGCCCATTAACTCATCACTCTCTCTATTTCGCGCCATCTTGGCAGCTGGAATTTTTTTTCTGTGCATCATAATCCAACCTTCCCATAAAATTCACCCTTTTTAACAAAATCTTTTGCTTGGATTATCTTCTGTGATATTCTATACATCATATCTAACGATTATTTTATATATTTGGCATTAGAATTTTTCGTAATTTGGACTCAAATGCAGCCCCTATCGGAGATCATGAAAACATGTAACCGATGTAAATAACGTTTTTCAGATTCGGACCCTCATCCAACCTGTACCAGCTGCACAGTACAGAACTGCACTGCAGAGAATAGATACAAATTCTGCGCCCCTTTGGGGAAGGAAGAATTTAGTAATTATCTTTTTGCAGTGCTGAGGAAAAAGATGGATCGGAAACGACGTGAGTCATCACGCTCATTATCATCCACAGTGACGGCTAAAAGTAAGAAGAGGCGAGAATACGCCCTGCCCTTCGCCGATTTGATATTATTCAAATTATCCTGCTGAATATGATGCAGTCACCCCCACATCTTACTTCCTCGTCTACCAGTAAGAAGTCTAGAGGGTCTAAGAATAAACCTACTGAACGCTTCAGTAAGGCTATCAATCTACAACAACTAGCTAAGAAAAAGAGTGCTTCATCATCTACTTTGAAGCCGTCTTCCCCTAGGGGAGAGCATGTTTTTGCAGAGGTTATTACCTCTACAAAACCACAGACTTCATCCGCAGTCATGAAGGGGGTTTCAAGAAAATCAGCTGTTTCTTCTAGCCAGAAGAAAGCCTGCGCACAGACAATTACGTCCGCACAGCCCCAGAGGTTCGCGAAGCCCACAGTGTCATCCAATTCGGCTACAAATACAACCGATATATACCTCAATCAGCCTCAGACCTTCGCGCAGATACCGGCCTTCGCGCAGCCCAACACAACAATTATGCAATCCTCTACCTTCGCGCAGGCTATTAATCAACAAGAGTATACACAGACGCCAGCGTTCACGCAGGCTCCCGCCTTCGCGCAGCCCAACACAACAATTACACAATCCTCTACCTTAGCGCAGGCGTCAGCCTGCGAGCAGGCTATTAATCAACAAGAGTATACACAGACGCAAGCGTTCATGCAGGCTCCCGCCTTCGTGCAGCCTTCAACGTTTACACTGCCAACTACCTACCTTTTTTACACAAGGTACTTTGCTAACGCCTGCTATTATTAATATTAATACAGATGTGATAGCAAATATCACACAACAAGTCGTAATGGCTATGCAACAACAAATGTGTAAACAACCTGGCACGCAGTCGACTACCTCTTCACACAATAGCTCGCAGATGTCGCAGCCTTCATTTACGGCTCCGAATCCTAACGCCTCCTATCTTCTGCGAGAGGAGGATATGTTCGAGCCCCCTCAAAATGAGGACACATCGGGGGAAAATTACCCTTCAATTTATGAGGATCATGAATTAATGGCGTGGATTACAGATAGACTGCCGATATCATCACCGTCAAGAAATTCTTCTCCCACTGATACATACTGTATCAAAGGGGACGATATAGACACACTAACCATCCCACCAATAAAACCAATCTCCAACATTGCAGAGAATATTAATGTTTCTTTTGCGAAAGCCACGAAATCACAAGGACTTCAAATACCGAGCTTTAATTCTAAGAAATTCCCCATGCACGCCATGTCGCAATTTCTTCGCTCACCGGAGATTGATGAAGATAACTCACTCATGTCAGACTCCAAAAGTAAAAAATCTTATCGCATTGAGGATAAGAAAATTGCACAACTTGATACGACTACAAGACATGCATCCTTTGGACAAGCGATGTCAGGCGCTATGAGCCTCAGAACGACAGCGAAAGAATGCTACTTTCAGCTCTCGTCAATCAAAAAATCAAGAAATTATTTCTGATCATATGAGTTCAGTGTCGGCAGGTTTAACACTACTACAGCGACAAGGTCTTATAAATAATTCTAATTGGTAAACCTATACCAAAGAATTATTAAGACAACCATGGGAGGCCCCAACCATTTTTAATGGTATCATACGCCAAATCAACAAAGAAGTGCTTTAAGACTCCAAAGATCATATGCTGATCAAGTCAGTTCAGACTATGAATTCTATGTATCGTCAATCCATGCAGAAAACCCAATTCAAAAGCCCTATGACGGGGATTCAAAAAGCTAAAGAGAAACGCTCGTACAACTTCAGAGGCGGGAAATCATCTGCTTTTCGCAAGTCACATGACACGTCACGTGATGCCGACCGCGGCCGCAGATCGAAGTGATATCGCAATAAATTACCGACGAAGATGGGCTTTTGAACGACAGGGAACTACCCCCACCAGCCGTTCATGTACAGCATTCCCCAGTAGGCGGAAGATTGGCAAGATATTGGATGAATTGGGACATTCTATGAGACGAATTTGTTTCCAACTTTCTAAGAAAGGGCTACGCGCCGACTTTACTCAAGAAATCCCCATTATCTCGCAAGCCACCGGAAATACCTTATCGGAAAGAATTGTTGCCGAAGTTAACTGAAGCAATCAATTCACGTCTCAACAAGGGCGCAGTCGAGATAATTCATCCAGAATTACTAACGCCGGGTTTCTATTCGCGGATCTTTTTGGTTCTCAAAAAGAATTCAAACGGAAAGTTTCGTTTCATTTACAACATGAGAAAATTCAACAAGAAATACCTCCCAAAACCGGAAGATTTCAGAATGATTCAACAAATGATAAGACAGCACGACTATCTCGGAAGCATCGATCTACAGGATGCTTACCTACACATTCCCATAAAACGGACTTTCAGGAATATTTACGTTTCCGCTTTAAAGGACAACATTACCAGTGGGCGGTCCTGCCCTTTGGAATTTCCACGGCCCCGTGGCTAATTACACGAGTGACC